AATTTTATCTTTTTTGGGTTTACCCATGCCTTAAAGTCACTTTATGTTTGCACGTAGATTGGAGAATTATCGTATGGACAGGGACGACTTGAAGATGGCTTGATTCACCATCTATGGGACATGCAGCTTACCCTGAACGAAGTGGGCTTAAGTCATCCGCGCGTGGCGACAATCTTGAACAATATTGCTCTTGTTTACGATGATATGAATGACAAAAAAGCCGGTGATTTATTCAAAGGCGTTTTGAATATAATGGTTCAGGCCTATGGACAAAACCATGTGGACGTAGCAGTTGTCAGGTATGTTTTAACAATTTGTGTACACAAGACTTGAAGTCCGATAATTGAATACCTTGAAAGATGGAGTGAGTTAGCAATTAGGAAATAAATAAAACAGCTACCGATAAGTTAATGAAGGAACCGTGAAAGAACCGAGGGAATAAATGAGTTGAGCCAGGTTTCGAGCAAAAGTCAATGTTGTAAATCAGTATCAAAATAGTCTTAGGGAGAGTGGGAATCAAGGAGAAATTACGCACGTTGAAGAAGCCCTTCCTACTTGATGTAAAATAATTATCAACATTATGATTACACTATAGTGTATTTTGATTGATATTCGTAAACAGCAGTCTACAGATAAATTTTCTAACAAAATGTTGGATTTTTTGTATCTTCAGGTATAACTTGGGAGCATTTCTTTTCGCAAATAACCTTTATGAGAGATCCCGCTATCAGTTCAATGAAGCTCAACGTATATTCGAACTTTTCCTTGGCAATGATCATCCGGACACGAGATTAACTGAGGTCGCACTGGAAAAACTGCATGCATTCGTTAAATAAAGAATAGGTCTATAGGATATCGAACCCGCATAATAATTATAGGTCAAATATAAAGGATTTAATTTTAGAATTTTAAAGAGGTGAAATTCAGAAAAAGGGGATATTAAAGTACCGTATAAGTAGAGTAAATAGGATGAAATTCACAAACGGGGAGGGGGGTACAAAAGTTTTCCGAGGCGGCCAAGTACTAAAAGGGCCACGCCCACCTTAGTTCCG